TGTAAGAAAGTTAAAATACAGATGTGAAAGTTTTTCAATCACAGAATATCACACTGTTGCTATTCCTTCATGTGGGAAACTGGGGATCTAGTTTATAAAAGTAACAAACTCTACTTGTTCAGTGAAAGCAGCATTAACAGCAAAGCAAGACCATTAGTGCAGTTATTTTAGTACTGGAGTGCTCTGGCTTCAATGTCGTTTTTACTTTACATAGGCTATTTAACGAGGTTTTATTTATCTTTAATGCAAATACAGCAGTTGGCATAGGACTGGGCTCAATGACCCTTATGGGACCCTCCCAATTCAAGATTTCCTATGATTCCATGATTAGCACAATAGTCATATTCTCATACTGGTTATTCCTCTTTCTGTAGAAGAACCATCTGCAACGCTCTGACGTCTGTACCACATCATCACTCTGTTAATTCTAGACAGAGCTGACAAAAACATTACCTTAATGAAGTAAATATTCCAGTATAAAATTTTAGTGTAAACTAGGCTTGGAAAAGTGCTGGGATACATAAAATAAAGCTTCTTAATGCTGAGCTAAGGACAACAGCCTATACATTCTGTTGGCGCAAGCCATGAGCAGACAGAAAGCAAGCAGTTAAGGGAACAGCTCACTCACCAGTTCCTCTTCCTAGCTGTACCTACTTCCTTTCCATCACTTAAAGTTCTCATATCACTTAACTCATTCCTTGCACCCAGAGCACGGTTTGGCATCTGGCTGCATATTTGTTACATCAGCACACACATCCTCATTTCATTTCCCTAATTCCTGTATTAAAATTTAGTATAAGATTAAGACAAATAACTAAATCCACAGACCACCTACTCTTATATTTTCTAACCAGTTCAAGGAAACCAAGCATGTCTCAGAGCAGACACGTGCAGGCTGGTAGAATTCCTTGCTGCCACATACCAGCACCAAACCACAAAACATTACACGTAGCACTTGGAAACCACCTTGAGCACATGGTGATCATCAGACCATGTCATAAGATTGTCAGACAACTGGATCTGAGCTCTGGGCTGATGCTGCTTACTCATTGGGGATGGATTGTGGTCAGGGGGATTGAAGGAACTGAGGTTTAGAAGGGGGAACTGATAATTGGCGTGTAGAAAAGCAGAGTGACTCATATGCTAAATCTTGTGCTTTCTACAGAATAAACCATTCAGTGGAGGAAGCCTGGGCTGAGGGTAATGGTGATTTGTGAATGGTTGTCATCTTTCATTCATATGGGTATGAATAACATATGACATTACTTGTTAGGAGCACTGAAGAACTTAGAGGTGACTGCCACTGTCCAAAGCAAGGTAGATTTTTCATTCTTATAAAATAATCCACTTGGAATTTGAAGTGTCAGCCTCACAGTTTTGGTGTGCACCTGAAAGACCACCTTGATAACTCCCAGTTTAACATTGCAAAACCAGTGAAGGAAATGGTGAGGCTAAGGCAGCCCCTCCAACTCTGCTTTGCTTCCTTCCCTTCCTCCATAGGGTGTCCTGTGGTGCAGTCATGCAGTTGGTGTCTGGTGTTGTCCCACAGAAGTGCATCAAGATGAAAAGCAGGGCCCAGCATTTTGGTGCTTGTTCAATCTTAGTCTTTCTTTGCTGCACACCTTCCAGGCTGTCACAAAGACAGTTAATAGTTTCATTGTGGATTTTCCAGGGATATGTATCACCGTATCATCCATGCATCTGCCTGCCATGACATCCCACCAGGAGGGAGAAGACCTTCAGAGCTGTGGGTGCGCAGGTATGACTGTGGAAGTATGAAGATGGGAGACAAAAGTCATGGCAGCACCCAGGTTTTGTCAACTCTCCTCACATTCCTGCTGGACAGGGCCAGTGCTCTTCCTGTTACATCACTGCCTGTACCAAACTTCCTTTCCCTGCAGCCCTGTTCTTCCACACTGCACATCTTGTACCCACCGCAGAGAGGCAAAACTCTTCCAGAAAAGTGGTGTTCACAGGGGTCCCAGGATGAGGGAAGAGACGAGAATCTTGACTCCATATTTCAGAAGGCTGATTAATTATTTTATGATATATATTATATTAAAAGAAAATTATATACTAAAACTATACTAAAAGAACAGAAGAAAGGATTTCATCAGAAGGCTAGCAAGCAATAGAAAGGAATGAATAACAAAAGCTCGTGACTCTCAGAGAGTCCGAGCCAGCTGATGTGATTGGCCATTAATTAAAAACAACCAACACGGACCAATCAAAGATGAACCTGTTGCATTCCAAAGCAGCAGATAATTATTGTTTTTATTTTCCTCTGAGGCTTCTCAGCTTCTCAGGAGAAAAATCCTGGTAAAGGGATTTCTCAGAAAATATCATGGTGACACAAGTCTCTCCTGTTCCTTTAGACGCTTCCACTTTGTGCGTTGATCAATAAAAGAATTTTAGATAGGGAACACCACCAAGTGGCTTTGTGGCTATTACTGTGACCAGATAATTTCTGCAAGGTGTCCTGTGACTGGAGGTGAAGCAGCAAAGAGTCACGTGGCAGAGCTCCCCAAGCACACAACCCAAAGGAAGGTTGAGAACACCTCTCTGTCCCACCTATCCCCACAGGTAACAGTGTGTAATCTTTACAAAGGCCTGGATGATGGAAGCCTCTGGTGGGAGGTGACACACTTCCAAAGATCATTAATTCACAAAATCAGACACAATAGAGATAATCCTGAAAAGGGAAACTTTTTTTTAAAAAGGCAGCAAACTCAAACTCACAGCTCATCTTCCAGACGTTCCAAGCATCAAGTCACCCTTGGCTCTGGCTGTTTCAAGCCCGCATGAGTCATATCCTTGCTAACTGGAAGCCTTAAATTGAGTTTGTTCAGCATTCTTTACGACGGAAGGAAGTTGTTTAGCAATGATAGAAAATGGAAAGCACAGGTCTTGTTTTTGTTTCAATCCCATGTACTTCACTGTGCCTTAAGTGGTTTGAGGCAAATGCATTTATCATAGTAGTGGCATGCTTACTTTTGCTAACCTGAATAACCTGGATAACAGCAAGAAATACACTTTGTCTGCAATACAGCTGCAGTTCTCACAGGTTGTAGTCACATGTTACAAAATGGAACCTTTCATTAGTACTTGATTTCAAAAACTGGCTTCTAAGTTTTTGAACTTCTAAAATCATCTGTGAAGTAATTGTATAAAACTTGTTTTTATAGTGTGACAGATACAACATGACCTAACATGCAGATCAATCAGAACACAAACCATATTGCCTACATGGAAAATAGAGGATCAGTATGATAAATACTTTATTAAAAGCCTAATTTCAGCTATTTAGTCAGCAGAGCTCCACTGTATCTAGAGAAAAATGCAACATGTCCAAATTGGAGACTTACTGAATGTGAAAATACTTTTCACTATTATGCTCTTGATGAACAAATCAAGAGATGGATGATAGATACAGCAGTTACCCCTCAGAAGGTTGTTCCAGTTACCTTTACTCTTTTCAACACCTACATGATTTTCTGCATGATGTAGACTATGCTACATTTTAATTTAACTTGCCTATGAATATTTTTGGAAAATTCCATTTCCCTACCTTCCTGCCTTTGAATCCCACTTCCCCAAATATTAAAAAAAAATAATTTTAAAGATACACTAATTTTTCATCCTTGGTACTTCTGTATCAGTTCTACTAATTTGTATTGCGAAAAAATTTCTCTGATCTCCTGCTCTCAGGCTCATGAGCATGCATGCAGGCAAATATGTTCATACAAAGCTGTTATTTTTTACTTTAACCATAACTAAAAGCAGGAGGAAAATTTGATTGCACATAGCTAAAGTCCAAGTTGAATATAAATCTTTGACTTAATTTAGTTTGGGATGGTTTAAGAATTTCATATTTATCCAGGCTTGTAGGCTGGCCCACATCAAAAATTTGGCATCTGCACACCTGTAAAATATTTCTTGAATTCTTCTATACTGGTCAGTACCTACAGGTTAGGAAAAACATATTCCATGACTATTCTCCCAGTGCTGATTGCCACAAATGAGCCCCAGCTTTCCTCCTCCACCTGACTGTGGCTCTCTCTCAGGTTTTTCTCCCAGCATATGGTCTGTAATTTTTCTGATATCTAAAGCATGGTGACTGCACTTAAATAGAAAATTTCAAGGTGAACACAGCTATTTGTAAGTAAAGGTCTACTGTCTGATCCATTTGCATCCAAAGACAGTCCGTCAATAAACTAATTTTATGTACTTTATATGGCCTTCAGTGAATTCACTGAAATCATCTGACTGCATGTTTTCAAGGCTAGATGGAAAAACCTTTGACTAAAATGACAAACTATTTTAGAATGAGAATTCTCTTGTTCAAAACACACAAACACAGGCAAAAAAGGGTGATTCTAACTTTCTGTGGTGTTCTGTGCTCAAAGCAAAGCTCTGATTTCTCTTCAAGTTATGTTTCCCAATAGTGCAAAACTCAAACAAGACTTTTCCAGCACTTCCAGGCCTAATATTCCAAGTGGTTTTTATTAACTATGGTTTGTTTTTTTTTTTTAACTTCCACAAAGTACAAGGAAAATTGGATCCTCAGATAATAAGAGGAATAAACACAGTATTAAACTGCTCAGGGAGCATTCCAGCAGGAAGCCCATGCCTCAGGAGTGGTGATATCCCAGGTACAGCAGGAAGCAGCGCCAAGTTTGGATGCTGACACTGCCCTGGTGGCTCAGAGGGAGAAGTGGAAACAAGGTTGTCCTCTCCTGCTACCGCTTCATGCTCTGCTGCTGCAGTGCTTGGAGTATCACAGAGCCACTTTTCCCACCTCTGCTGCAGGGAATACTGTAGGCAGTTAGCACAGATAAATTACAGGCAGCTTGTAATTCGTTTTTTTGTCCCCTTTGCTGCCAGGAATTGTTCTGATTAACATGAAGTTCTGTTTTCATGGTGGATTAATAATAATAATCAAAGCTAAAGTCCTGGTGCAAGTCTTAACTTCATAGTTTTCAATTACTAAGACACAGTACTAATAACACATTAAGTTGAATTCTAAGCTCATGAAGATGTAACAAGCAGCATCTGACAAGCAGAGTTTAAAATACAGGGGGATTTGAGAACATTTAGAACATAAAAGGGATTTTCTACATCCCTTTTTAATGAAAAAACTGCTCTATGGATAGAAATGGAGGTATAACCAAGATTTTTAAGTTGATCTAAGAAAATACAGGGATAAATAGAGCAAGTAAAAGACATTTTACTTCCCAGTTATTTGTGTATCACAGAACTCCTGTCCCTACTTACAGCCACTTATGTTTCAAAATAGACCAGAAAATAAGAACAAAATAGCCTTGCAATAATTTTACAGACATAGTCTCAGTTGAAAGTATGATGAAATTATGATTCTTATATTAATTTTTCATTTCTTGCATGCCTAAAAGTACAATAAAAAGGCACTCAAGTAATCTTTACACTTAAGGCAGGAAAGTTTGATCTCATCTGTTTCCTTTTAATTTTATAACTTGAAAATTATCACTGGCAGTGCACTTGTTTGACAAAAAATAATTTTGTTACTTCAGTTTTTAATGTGCAGTTTTTCAGATTTTATACAGTAGTGTGAAGTTGACATCAAGTATGGTTTCTATTAGTGAGGAGATCTGCTTCAAGATAACTTCCAAACACTTTATGCATGAGGAAAATAATTTAAAAAGAATTTACCAAACTAAAATTAACATACATGTATTCCATATATTAATATTGTCCCAGTCCTTAGTATGATCCAAATTTCCAACACAGAGACTATTTATATAATTTTCTAGTGTGTCCATATCTTCTTAAATTGGAAGAAATATGTTTAGAAAAGAAACCTGATCCACTAGAACATATAATGGGGATAGATTAACTTCAATTATGTTACTTGAAATAAAACATTCATTATATAATGGATGAAATATCCATTATATTAAGCTACTGGGTGGCAAGCATTAAATCAAATTCAGACTTCTACATACTCTGCATCTGTAGTAAAGTGTTGTAACATATGAAACAGATCTTTATTTTAAAATCTGTTTTCCATTCCTGTAAGAAGTGCCTCCCATGAGCTGGCTGGGAGTTATGAGGAGCCCTGTCTCTTTTGGTACTGTATCCTGAGCTTTTCCAGCTGCTCCACGCACTGTGTCTGGGCCAGCTTCAGCGTCCGGTTCTCCTCTGTCAGCTGTGCGTACTCCTTGGCCAGCCGAGCAGCATCCATGCTCTCTTTTTCCACTTGCTCCAGCCTGGCAATCAGCTCCTTTCTGATGATTATGAAAAAAATCCCAATTATTACAAGTGGCAGTAGGCAAAAATTTGTTGTCCTGTGTTAGGTCAAAGATGGGCTGTGTGTTGTGAACTTAGTTTTTATTACTTGAACTTGTGTGAAACGAGGACCTAGAAAATTAATTTTTTAGAGTCCTGTTTTTTCCCTTTGTGAAAAATGCCAATCACTTGTTTTTAAAATTTTTAAAGTTTAATAGCAATAAAATAGTTATAAAAATAGCAATACAATTAGACTAATAATAATTTGGACAATTTGGATTAGGACAATATGAGAGAATAGAGACAAAGTGTTACGGATGTCTGGGTACCTTTTTCTGGGCAGCACGAGCCCAAAAACGGACACCCATTAACAGAGGATTAACCCTTAAAAACAACAGCCTGTTGTATATTCATACACCTCATACATGATGCATAAATTCCATTCAAATACAGGATTCTGTCTGGTCGGTGTCAACTTCTTCCTCTGAATCCTAACAGTGCCTTCGAGGTGGGAAGAAGTTCATTTCTTCTGATAACAGGGCAATAAATTATTTTTCTCTGAAAGATTTAGGTGTCCTGTGGCTGCTATCTCACTGTGAGTCGTTTCTTTAAAAAAGGTATCTTACATAGCATAGTTTCTATTTTAATATTTTTTAATAACCTAAAACTACATTTAACACACTATTTAAGAGAATTAATACAGCTGATTAATATAAATTTATATTAATATAACTATAAAGTTATATTAATATAAAGTTATATTAATATAACTTTCTGACATAACACATATAATTTTCATTTTAATATTTGTGAAAAGCCAATCATAAAATATGCATTTTTCACACCTTTAAAAGGCTAAACTTCCATAATCTCAGATTGGTTTGCTGTTCAGTGACCAAGCCTGAAAAATGCTGTTGTCATGTGTCTGTATTTGGGACTGTTCAGCAGAAGAGAAGGCTTTGGGGAGACATTAGAGCCCCTTCCAGTACCAAAAGGGGCTCCAAGAGAGCTGGAGAGGGATTCGTGACAGAGGTGACAAGACAAGAGAATGGCTTTAAACTGAAAGAGGGCAGGAAATGGATATTGGGAAGAAATTCTTCCCTCTGAGGGTGGTGAGGCCCTGGCACAGGTTGCCCAGAGAAGCTGCGGCTGTGCCATCCCTGGAAGTGTTCAAGGCCAGGCTGGATGTGCTTGAAGCAGCCTGGTCTAGTGCAAGATGTCCCTGCCCATGGCAGGGGGTTGGAACTGGATGAATTTTAAGGTCCCTTCCAATCAAAACTATTCTATTGATTGCATGATTCTGTGATCTCTAACTTCAGTAAGAGTTGAGCACACAATTCATGGTGGAGAATCAAGTTCCTAGAGATGACTTGCTAATACTTCGCCAAAAGAAAAACAATTTATTTTTCTCTCAATACCAGGTATCTCTGAAAGAGAGATGTTCTTGTTTGGCTGGTTAGATTTAGAAATAAATAAAATTTTTTTGTTTGGTTGGCAAGTTCTGTGAAGTGTGCCTGGCTTCCTTTTCTCTACTACAAACAAATATAGTAAGTAATAGGCACTGAATCTAAGCAATATATATTTCTATAACGTGTTTAGACTCAGATCTTAGCCCTATTGCTGGGGAAGAGTTGCAAAGCTGACCCCTCCTGGTCCTCTTAAGTACAGACACAAGAGGATTCAAGCTGTGACTTCTGGATGGAGTCACACAGTGCCCTGTATTCCCAGAGCTGGCCAGGAGCTGGAGTTTCCTGTATAGTATCAACTGAAATTACCTCAGCACAAGTGGAGATAAAAGAGGTCTTAAAACACGCTGAAGGCATGAGTAACTCACAGAGAATCTAATTGCTCTCCCCTTAGTCACCCACCACGCCAGCCAGGCCTCTGGGTTTCTTTTCCCTTTAAGTCAAAAATTCACCCATTACAGGAAGTCTCTTCTAAAAGGTTCTTTTGATCATTCTATCTCAGAGATTAGTTAATCTTTTAACTGTTCATACCCTGTGACTTTATTTCTCAGTCATGTCAAAACAGTACTGGTAGATCATCAGTGGGAAGTTGTTCATGCCTTCACAGTGGATAGATTTCACTGCAGTCCTTAAAGGAGCCCACTTGTCAGGCTAGACCCGTGCTTTCAGACAGGAAATTCCTAGAGATCAGCAATTCTATTCCCACAGGTCAGAGTGCTCATGAAAAGATAACATTTCTGTGTTTGCTGATCACTTGTGTTACATAGAGCAGCAAAACTGTAAATCTGCCTTTTGAAAAACCTTCATTTAGGACCCTTCATTTAGGATCAAGTTAACCTTCCTCTGTCTTTACTGCAGCTTTCAGTGATAGCAGAGTTTGCCCATGGCTTAGCCAACTGTTTACAGTCACAGTTACTGCAGCTCAAGGAGTCACAAGTTAGAACAGACCTTTGGTACAGCCATTTCTACCAGCTGTGCTTCCCAAAGATTAAAAAAAAAGAGAAAAAAAAAAAGAGAAGAGTTAGCAGCTGCTACAGAATTTTTAAATCAGCCAAAGAGGCAGCATATAGGCATCCTCTTTATGATAGCTTTGCTGAGGCAAGGCAGAGCAGTTATGCTGCAGCAAAGCCTCTTCTGTTTCCTTTCACCAGGTGACAGGTGCATTCAATCAAGCCTTTGAGAGGAAGCATCAAGAAGGGTATTTTTGCTCAGTAAAATTCTATTTACATTTAACATAATATAGCTGTACTACTTTTAAACACAGCAAGCCACTAACAGGTTCATTTCTCTGTGGCTGGGCCACTCTAGCTCAACCAGTTTTCACAGAAGCCAGGAAAATCTTGCTAGACAGCTCCTATTCATGGGCCTGAGACCATGGAGGAATGATTTCATGTGAGAAATACATTCAGGGACAATGAATTTTTACAACTCTCCCAATGTTTGGGTTTTTTGTTTATTGTTTGTTTGTTTGTTTTTATTTTTGTTTCTCCCTGGACTTCCTCTGGAAGACTTTTATCTCTAGAGACCAAATAAGAACTTCTACAATATTTCTTTGCAATTATTCTCTGGTGCAATGTTGGACTGAAGGGCTAAATTAACTCTTTCAAATTACAGACAGTTAAATCAGAAGTGTCCAAACAAATGAATTCAGAATCATTCTTCCTTACTTTTTTTGCACTCATGAGCTTTTTGAAAGGGAGATGCAGTGAACCCACTAGTAGGGAATCAGCATCTTAAAAGCAGTTAAACCTTTTCTGTGGGAACTTTCAGTACTTGAAAAGGAATGGTACTGACTCTCCTGGACTTGAGCCAGGGGAGGGACAGACAGACAACGTGCAAACTCAGACAGCTCCAGTAATGAAGGTCAGTTCTGATTTGATGGCATTCTCTGCAGGCTTGGCTTTCATGCTGCTCTCCAGTAATATTCAGGCAGCACAGAAAACTCCTCTCCCCCCTCCCCAGGATTTAGATTCTCTATCAAACAAACTGCAAAGGCATTAAAATAAAAATATAATCTTTGCTGTAGTCCACACTCTTGGACCTCCCTCAAAGAAAGCAGTTTCCTTGCACTGAGGTAGTAAAATTGCCCACTTCTGAGTCAGCAGAACCTACTTAGTCCTTTCCCATCAGGATCAACACCTGTTTACAGGATAGGGTGATGTTTCAGGCTAATACTGTCAGCCTGCCACAGACCTAAAATTAGAATATCAGGGAATTGCTAAATGTTATGAATGGTGTAGTTTAGGAAGCTCACAAAAGGATGAGGACAGTAACTAACATTTACATCTGATCTAATCCTAGATTTGAACTTAGCTTTCAGAGGTTAAAGAACACCATGCCAAGCTCTTGCACCATCCAGACCTTGTTGTGGATGCTTAATAAATAGATGTAGCACTGTGTAATCTGTGCTTTCTGTTAATGGTTACCCCAAGTTTAAATATTAACAGTATTGATAAGGTATTTTCCAAACTAGTGCTGAGGTACTCACAGCTTTGAGCCAATCTGTAACGTGTACTTGAAGTGTTCTTTTTTGGGGAGGGGTTTGGGAGGCAATATTAGTGATTTGCATCATAAACACATCAACCACAAGCAGGAGAAAAACATAGCACTGTCTTAGGGAAGTTATTTCTCTTGTTCTGGCCTTAGTGACCAAACATGCAGAGAACACAGCTCCTCAACACTCATATTCACAAGGAATAAATACAAAGAAAAGTGACAGACTAAGCAGATAAATCTGCCTGGAGATAAGTGTATTTAGAGATGGACTGACACAAGGAAAGCAGTTTCCAGAATACAAAGACTTAGATTTGCCTTTTCCCCATTGAGAACAAGGTATTCAGGATCATGCATCTGTGGCAGTACAGTAACTTCTCCAACAACTGCTGAGCACTGGTGGCCATAAGGGCATTTTCTCTTCACACATTTGCCATGGCTTTCCTATCAGGGGGAACTATGAGACCCTGCAAGGTGACTGCTGTCTTGAGGAGATTGTTCTTGCATAAGTCTACTAATAAATTAAAAACCAACACCATTAAAGTCTGCTTTAACATAAATGAAAATGTGTCTCAGATGCCATAAAATGTCATAGAATGACAGAATAGTTTGAGTTGGAAAGGACCTTCCAAAGGCAAGGACACATCCTCTAGAAGAGGAGGTCTCTCTTTGTATTAGAAAAGCTGTAATTTAATTTCTAGTATTTGGCAAGTAACATATGCATACATGTGAGATAATGAAAAAAGAGGTCTAGAATGGGAAAATTATTGAGCTAAAACGTTGCCTTTAAGGTTTACACCAATCTTTTTCTGAAGTACCTAGAAGTCTGAAAACTACTTGTCTTCCCACTACAGTGTTGGGAAAGACACTCCAGAAACAATGTACCTGGAGAAATCCTCTAGACTAAAAAGCACAGGAACAGTCCTGTGGTCATGAGAGCAAGCTAAAACATATGAAAGGCTCCCACAAAATGAAGCATGCATCATGCATCTCCACTGCATGCCATTTACCAAGAGGGGCAGTGGCATGCTGGATTTTAT